ATTGAATACCTTACATCACTTATAAAACAATAATTTTACACACACACACACACACACATATATATTGCATGTTAAGTATATTGCACTATATTTTTAAAAATATATATTGCACTAAATAATCTCTACAAAATCAAGGATATTCTTCACTTATCATAACAATTTCAACTATTCTTCAAATACGAACTTGAATTCTCTTACATGTAACTTCAATTCATCTTATATTATATTATGTGTCAATTAAGTTATATATATAAATATATGTATTTATTGAAAAGGTAATGTGTTAAACCCTATGACCCATCTAGTAATAGAGTCCGTTATCAACTTTTATTATTGAATTATATGGGTATTCACTTTTTACCCATTACTGATTCACCCACTTAAATTTGAATATCCAAATAATTTAATTTTAATATGCAAACTTGGACGATTTAATGAATTTAAATATAAATTACCACCCCTAAATGCTACCACTTAAAATTTTACAATAACAATTAAATTTAAACTTTCAAAATATTCAATAATCAACTTTCAGTTTTACTGAAAAACCACTATATCTTTCACTTCGAATAGAATTCAAACTCTATGGGGACAATGGGAGGGAGATATTTTAAAGCATTTCAACTTTATATCTTTGACTTTCCATGTTGATCCGAAATGCTACCTCAATGAATAGTAGCAAAATTATTTGCGGGCATGGTACGTTGGGCAAGAAGTCAAGTGGTTCAATCGGACGATGATATCATCTTTTTCCTCCCAAATTCTAAAAACGAGTATTAGTGAGCCCCACACGCAATAGGATAAATGATAAACATCATGTAATGGCCGCACACGTAAAACTAAAAGTTGATTGTTGAATATTTTGGAAGGTAAAATTTGAGTAATTGTTAACCTTTTAAGTGATAATTTGCATTAGGTGTATTGGTGGGATTAATTCAAAGTAAATTAGGGTCTGTTTGGTTAGATAAAAATTGATGATGGAAGTAAAAGAAAAGAAAGTGAAGTGAAAAAAAAGAAAATTAGTTTTTTATTATGCATTTGGTTAACAAGGATTTTTTTTAAAGAAACTTGTGAGAAAATGTTGTTTAATTAGTTTGGATAGTAAGAGAATGAAAGGAAAATGATTTTCTATATCAAAATTACCCTTATGAATTTAATAGTAAAATAATAATAATATATACAATTAAATAATAATAATATTAGTAAAATAATATATACAATTAAATTACCCTTATGAATTTAATAATAATAATAATAGTGAAAAAATAATATATATAATTGGATTTATAAATAAATATATATGTCTAGATATGTATGTGTCTCTTTATATAGTTTTTTTTTTTTGGGAAGTTTTCATTTTATATTAGGACTCTGTTATTAAATTAGTTTACTTTGTTTTGTAAGTGTAGCGAAGAATTTTAATTTCAAGAGTAAAAGAGTTGTAATTAATTTAGGAGTATTAATTTGTGTAAGAAAACTCTCCTTTTGTGAGTATGAAGAAACAAAAAGAAACATTTTACACAAAGGTATAAGAGGAAATTAATATATAATGATATAACTTTATTTTCGCGTGTTTTATAAAGGAAATATTTTAAGAAAAATCAAGCAATTGCAGAAATATTACTTTCCTGAAAACTTTTCTTTTCATGCTAACCAAACGGCCAAAAATCTTAAAATTTTCTATTTCTTTTTCGCTAATTCACGCTAACCAAACTAACCCTTACTATTTTACTAAAACTTACGAGCATGACAATAACAAACAAATATAAACTAACCCTTGCTATTTTACTAAAACTTACGAGCATGACAATAACAAACAAATATTTAAATGCAATATTAAGTATAAAAGCAAAGAAATAAAGTAATGTAAATTTAAGATCAGCAAATAAAGATAAAGATTCTTACAAAATATTTATTGAATTTAGTAAAAGGACATTCAAAGAGAACGCTATTTATAATACCAAAGTAAAAGTGATTTTCATTCATCATAATAATGTCAAATACAAACTTAGAATTTTTTGTTTACGTGTAACTTCAATTTATCTTGTATTGAACAGAGTATTCTGTTTCAATTACATCACCTATATACATTGAATACCTTACATCATTTATAAAACAATAATTTTATATATATATATATATATATATATATATATATATATATATTTATTGCATGTTATGTATTGTACTATATTTTTAGAAAATATATATATTGCACTAAATAATCTCTACAAAAGCAAGGATATTTTTCACTTATCATAACAATTTTAACTATTCTTCGAATATGAACTCGAATTCTCTTACATGTAACTTCAATTCATGTTATATTATGTTATGTGTCAATTAAGTTACATATATATATATATATGCATGCATTTAAAAGGTAATGTGTTAAACCCTATGACCCGTTTAGTAATAGAGTCCGTTATCAACTTTTATTATTGAATTTTATGAATGCTCACTTTTTACCCATTACTGATTCACCACTTAAATTTGAGTATCCAAATAATTTAATTTTTGTACGCAAACTTGGACGATTTAATGAGTTTGAATATGAATTACCACCCCTAAATGCTATCACTTAAAATTTTACAGTAACAATTAAATTTAAACTTTCAAAATATTCAATAATCAACTTTTAGTTTTACTAAAAAACCGCCATATCTTTCACTTAGAATATAATTCAAACTCTATGGGGATAATGGGAGGGAGATATTTTAAAGCATTTCAACTTTATATCCTTGACTTTCCATGTTGATCCGAAATGCTACCTCAATGAATAGTAGCAAAATTATTTGCGGTCATGGTACGTTGGGCAAGAAGTCAAGTGGTCCAATCGGAGGATGATATCATCTTTTTCCTCCCAAATTCTAAAAACGAGTATTAGTGAGCCCCACACGCAATAGGATAAACGAGTTGTGTGGTTTTGAAAATGATAAACATCACGTAATGGCCGCACAGGTAAAACTAAAAGTTGATTGTTGAAAATTTTGGAAGGTAAAATTTGAGTAATTGTTAACCTTTTAAGTGATAATTTGCATTAGGTGTGCCGGTGGGATTAATTCAAAGAATTAACTTATTATTTTACTAAAACTGCCGAACATGACAATAACAAACAAATATTTAAATGCAATATTAAGTATAAAAGCAAAGAAATAAAGTAATGTAAATTTAAGCTCAGCAAATAAAGATAAAGATTCGTACAAAATATTTATTGAATTTAGTGAAAGGACATTCAAAGAGAACACTACTTATGATACAAAAGTAAAAGTGATTTTCACTCATCATAACAATGTCAAATACAAACTTAGAATTTTTTGTTTAATTGTAACTTCAATTTATCTGTAGAGAGTATTCTGTTTCAATTACATCACCTACATACATTGAATACCTTACATCACTTATAAAACAATAATTTTACATATATATATATATATATATATATATATATATATATATTTATTGCATGTATGTATTGCACGATATTTTTAAAAAATATATATATTGCACTAAATAATCTCTACAAAAGCATGGATATTTTTCACTTATCATAACAATTTCAACTATTCTTCAAATACGAACTTGAATTCTCTTACATGTAACTTCAATTCATCTTATATTATATTATGTGTCAATTAAAAAAATAATAATAATAAAAAAAAAAGAAGAAGCAGCAGCTGTAGATGTGGCGTTACAGGCAAGGGCGGATGCAAGGTTCGCCCTTACCATACTACTTTAAGCCCAAAAAAATAAAAAATAAAAAATAAATAAAATAGTAATGGTAGTCCAGTCCAAAGTTAGCCAGTCCAAAATTAGCCCACCCCATTCAGAAAGGTTTGATCTGCCCTTGGTTACAAGTAGTAGCAGCGGCTAAGGTGGAGGTGTGTTTGTATGTATGTGTCTGTGTCTATATATATATATGGCTGTGTTTGTATATGTGTACATGTCTATATGTATACGGTTGTGTTTGTATGTGTGTATAGTATGTGTGCAGGGATGATGATGGGCGGAGGAGGAGAAAGAAGAGGAAAGGTGTGTTGGGGGTAGTTTAGTCACAAAAATAGTCTAACATGAGGTCAAAGGGTAACATTGTTATTTAACATTTGGGGTGTAAGTGAAATGTTAAGCCACTAATTTAAATTTGAGTGCAAAATAAAAATCAAATCTTCATCTAGGTGATGTATGATCTAACCTCAGGGGGTCTGAATGAAATTAATCCTAATAATTATGATTATAATATTTTTGTCTGAAAAGTTTATTCAGACTATTATCTAATATTATATAATCTATTAAAAATATTACTGCGGATTATTAACATTTGAATATTACAAATAATAGGTATCATTAGTTTATACTACGTGACACTAATTTCTATTTGGAATGAACAATGGTAAACATAGCAAACATAAAAAAAAATAATAATAAAAAATAAAAGATATTGTTTCCTTTTTCTTCACAAAAATAAAAAACATTTTCAACTTTAGAAAAATAAAAACATATTTTTAAACACGTTCTGTTTTTTATTTTGCCTTTTAAGGATTTGATAACAGAAAATAAAACAAATTTATTATTATTGAAGTTGATATTTTAATTTAAAAAAATCAAAATCATAATGTTGCTTTCAACAAAAGTAAAATAGAGGGTAAAGTGAAATCCATTCTACATTAAAAATGTGCAGGAAAAAAAAAATCATTACTATTTAGTAATGTATATGAACCCTACCATATAAAACTTTGTAGTAATTTTCTCCTTCAATTTTCACCAAATTTTTTTATAAAACTTCAAAACAGTAACGACACACTGTATAGTGTGTGTGAGAGACTTTTATTATATGAAGTCTTTTCAATTAATAGATGCTTGGAAAAATATGACATGAAACTCATTGTCTGATCTATATATAAGTCAGGGCTATGCCCTCTCTCAAGCACAAACCCAACCTTTCTCTTCTTTCCTTTTCCTTTCCTTCCTTTGATTTGATCAAAACTGTTTGAGCTTTAAAAATGGCAGCTTCCTGTGTTTACGATGTCTTCTTGTCTTTCAGCGGCCTTGATACTCGCAAGAAATTTACTGGTCACCTCTTGGCTGCTTTGGATCAGCATGGTTTTTACACATTCAGAGATGACACTAAACTCCAAAGAGGTGAAGAAGTTGGTCCTGGATCGTTGAAAACAATTGAGAAATCAAGAGTTTCCGTTATCGTATTCTCGAAAAACTACGCCTCCTCAGAATGGTGCCTTGACGAGCTTGTCAAGATCATGGATTGCAAGACGATACTCAATCAGATTGTTATTCCCATCTTCTATGACGTCGAACCTTTTAATGTTCAATCACAGAGCGATTGTTATGCAGAAGCGTTTGCCAGTCACGAAAGCGGTTCGACTTGAAAAAGGTGAAAATTTGGAGGTCAGCTCTAGAAAAGGCTGGCAATTTGTTCGGTTACGTCTTGCAAAATGTGGCCAACGGGTACTTATTTCTCTTTATTCTCTTCAAAAAAGCATTCTAACACTGTTTGATCACTTATTTATTTTGAATTTTCACCTCTTTGTATGTAAATTTGCTTAATTTCATTTTTTGATTTTTGTTTTTTCTTAACAATAAAAATTGGACAGGAGTGAGTCAACGTGTATTAAGTCCGTTGTTAATGGATTGGCAGATAAATTAAATCCTACGGGCTTAAGTGTTCCAGAGTATCAAGTTGGAATCGAGCATAGTGTTGAACAAATGTAATACCCCTACTTTAAAAAGGGATAAAATTGGAATTTAAATGTTATTTTATGTGCATTTTTATTTTATTTATTTGTGTGTATTAATTGATTTATTTGTTAATTATTTATTTGCGTTTATTATTTTTGTTTAATTGTCTTAGTTGAATTATTTAACATTATTTGCATTAATTGACTTAATTGGATAATTTGATTTAATTGATTTATTATTGTTTATTTTAATTAAGGGTGTAATTCTTTATTTGTTGGTTTATTTTAATTACTTGTTTTATTTATTTTATGTGTTTTAAGTGATTCGTTGCTTCCTTATTTGATTTAATTAATGGGTTTAAATTAATTGTTTATTAAGTATTTAATTTTTGAACAGGGTAATTATGTAATTTCCATTAACTAGGGTTTTAGATACGTGTTAGTTAGGGTTTTTGGAGCCGTCTCATAAGCATCTGATATCTAACTAAACTCGGATTAAGTTTAGGGCTTTATCTCAATGTGACAAGGATTAGGGTTTTAGTATTTAGTTTATAAATACTCCATTATGCGTTAAGCTAGGGTTTTACGATATATCACATAGCATATACACGTAGAGGGTTCTGCAAAACACAGAGAGATGCAGAGTAAGGGTTGAGATAACAGAGCAAATTGTGAGTTCTCGACTGAGGTTTCAAAGCCAAACATAGGAGAAGGGAAACACAGAAGTAATAGGAGGCTAAGCAGTATTTCAGTGTGGCCAGAACAGAGGAAAGCAGACCAACTATTACAAAGGCAAGTTCGATCTTCCTCTTTCCCTTTGAGTCGTGTTCTGTGCACCTAGATAATCTCTAGGGTTTAATCAAGCAGAAACTGGAATTGATATGTTTATTACGTGTTATATTGTTGGTCTGTATGTGTTGAAATCAATATCTGTTACAGTGTATGCAAGTGGTGTTTCAGTTTTCTGTGCTTTAAGCATATGGTTTCCATGGTAGCCTTAGTTTCTGTATTTGACTGCAACTCTTGTAGACACAATATAGGAACTCTACTGGGGTTATACAGAACTCATAGGGATGTTATTATTCGGTTTTAAATACGTGTGCAATCTGTTCCGTTTCTGTTTCTGCATATAGTTTCAGTTTTGATACTAAAAGCTTGGTAAGTTCAGTAGCAACCTTAAGCTTTGTAATTGTTGTAAATTACTGTAATCAAACCTTGGAGATGTTAATAGAGTGATAATAAACCCTTAAGATCAGTTTAAGAAATAAACAGAAGGGTAGGGACTGACCAGAGAAGGAGCAGATTGACGGAAACGGAGCAGAGACTGAACTGGAGGCTCTCAAGAGGGAGAGAGCCGGCTCTAGGAAGTCAAGAGCCGGCTCCCCTTCAGCAAGAGCCGGCTCCTAGGGGATTGGAGCCGGCTCCAATAGGGGAAGAACCGGCTCCTCCATTCCAAGAGCCGGCTCCAATTTGTTTTTACGTCCAGAAAGTGGTTTTAGGGCTCTGTTTGGTGTTTTGAGCATTGTTTGGGCTTCTGAATGATTCTAATGAACTGTAGGGACTTAACAGAGGATCTAAGTAGTTAATTTTAAGTGTTATTAAACTTAATGTTGCATGGTTTAAGTCTTTAAGACAAAGGATGAAGCAGTGTAAAAATATACAACGGTGTATGCTACTAACAGAGAAAGGAACTGAATGGCTTGATTAAATTTTAGAAATTTAATGAGACTTCACGGAGGGATTAAATAGTTAATTTTTGGGTGTTATTAAGACCCTAAATTAATTTAAGGTTAATTCTAAATTAACGGATCTAACTGTATAACACTTATGTACAATTGTATACGATTGGTGGATGGATGAAGTTTTAAATGCTTAAGCTTATTTTTAGGCATTCCAGTGGGATTTAATATATTTATAAAATGGTTTTAAATATATTATAGGGTCGTTGATGTGTTAGATGTGATCTATGCAGGCTCTGGATGTTAGTTGTTGATTTATTAAATCATCTCCTGCAACTATATGGTTAATTGTTTGGATTTAAGTTGCTGAAACTTTGAAAAATCTTCAGTAATTAATTGGATATTGGTTTTGGATTTTAACTTGCGGTACTATCATTCTTAGTCTGTAATTTACATGGTTTTGGTTTTAAGTTGTTGAAATACTCAATACTATTCTGCAACGATGTGGATGGTTGGTTTTGGACTATAAATTACGTGCTTATTATTTATGCCTTGTAATTTACCTGGAATTATGTATTGAAACATAATTGCTAAAATGCTGTACTATCATTCATAGTCTGTAATTTACATGGTTTTGGTTTTAAGTTGTTGAAATACTAAATACTATTCTGCAACGATGTGGATGGTTGGTTTTGGACTATAAGTTACGTGCTTATTATTTATGCCTTGTAATTTACCTGGAATTATGTATTGGAACATAATTGTTGAATTCTTATACTTAATTCGGTAAATTATTTGGAATCATATATTGGATTATAATTGCTGAATTCTTATATTAAATTTGACCAATTATTTGGAATTATGTATTGGATTTTAATTGCTGAATTCTCACATTAAAATTCTGTCAATTATCTGGGTTTGGTTTTGCATTGTAAATTACTTGCTTATCATTTGAATGTTGTAATTTACATGGATATGGAGGATGGTATGCACCGGTATGGGACGGTGGCATACTAGGTATGGTTTAGCTCAAAATGCTAATTCCTACCTTATGGATTTTAATTGGTGAACAGTATGACTGGTTCTATCAATTATATGGACTTTGTGGATTGTATGCACCGGTATGGGACGGTGGCATACTAGGGACAGACTGATTTAAAATACTCAGTCCTACCTATTTTGGAATAAGGGAACGGGTTGTTAAATAAATCCTCCTTATATATATATAAGTCGGTACGGTTGAATACGCCGAATGACTTATTGGATTTCTTGTGAATGGTTAGGAACGGAGTTTAGATATATATGTTTATGGTACCACGAGTTGAGCTTGAGTCTCAAACTTGTTGGTTAGGGTGCGTATATGCAGTGGACGTGTAGCTGGTTATAGTAGGTTGGGTGTACCCTGTTAGGTCTAGGTACTCATGCCCACCTTTGGGTGCGTATTCGCATGATGCCTTCTATTCAGGTTGAGATCCCTACTGTAGTTCAGTGAATGTCCCATAGTGTGGATATATATATGTATGGACTAGATAGATATTGTGAGGTATCTATGGTGTATCTGCGTATCGGGTCACTGTATGGATTGCAGTTAGATTAGAACTTGCTAGTGGGCCTGACCCACCCTTTTATTATTTTTTTTCAGGTGTTCGTCAGTTCTGAGCTGTAGAGCGTGATCGTGCTGAGCATATACAGTTATTCACTCTACTGATGGCGTAGGATTTTATTTCATGTTAAGACTTGGGTTTTGTTCCAGTCTTTTGAGTACCATTGGTTTTTAGGGGTCCACTAGATGGATTCCCGAGTTGTATACATTGGAGAACGATTTCCATTCTTGGTGGATCAGTTGTATCAAAAATAGTTTTAATTATCAATGAAATTATTTATTCTGAGGTTTTCAATTATTGGACTATCATTCTAGGTTCTTTTCAGCAAAATTTTATTTATTCTTGTTTTCTATATTGTATTCTGTGTTCATTAAATTGCTAATTGTTTTGATATCCTCGGGTAATCGGGCGTGGGCTTGGCCAACCCGCATCCGGAAATTCGGGGGTATCACAACAAGTGACTAAGTTTCTAATGTTGGGGTCAAATAGCGCTATCAATGATGTTAGGATTATTGCCATATAGGGGATTGGTGGAATTGGTAAGACTACCATTGCTAAAGTACTGTATAATCGCATTCATCGTTTTCATCTATTTGAAAGCAGTAGCTTTCTTCATGATGTTGGACGAATTTCTAGGGATACCAACGGTGTCGTTAAATTTCAAAAACAGCTTATGTCGGATCTCCTAAATGATGAAAATGAGAAAATAAGATGCGGGGATCATGGAATTGAGGTGATAAAATGTCAAGCATGGTGTCGAAAGGTTTTTCTTGTTCTCGATGGTGTGGATAACAACAGCCAATTGAGTGCTTTGGCTATAAATCGTAATTGGGTATGTCCTGGAAGTAGAATCATAGTAACAACTAGAGATTTGTCTGCAATAAAGTCACTTCAAGTGGATGAGGTGTATAATCTTGAGGAGTTGAATATGGAGGAATCTCTTCAACTCTTCAGTTGGCATGCCTTTAGAAGAGACTGTCCTCTAGAAGGTTATGAAAGCCTCTCTGACGCAGTAGTGTGTTATGCGAAGGGACTTCCTTTACTTCTTACAACTTTAGGTTCTTTATTGTCTAGTAAAGCGGTACATAAATGGCAAGCTCAATTGGAGAAGTTGAAAAAGATTCCTGATCCTAAAGTTCAAGATATACTAAGGCAGAGTTTTGACTCACTTGATGATAAACAGAAGGGTTTATTCCTAGATATCGCATGTTTTTTTGTTGGAATGGACCAAGATTTGGCCATCAAAATACTAGAAGGATGCAATTTTTACCCAGATATTGATATTGACATTCTATCTGATCGTTGTCTTGTAAGCATCAATCGGCATAACCAACTGATGATGCATGATCTGATTCAAGACATTGCAAAAGAGATCGTCCGCCAAGAATTCCTTACAAAGTCTGGCGAACGTAGTAGATTGTGGTATCATGAAGACATTCTCGATGTACTAAAATATGACACGGTAAGAGTCTAATGCCTAATTTAATTACATATCTTGCCACTTTAAAAATACCATAGCACATGACACATCATGAAAGTCTCACAATCTGGTATGTGACCATATTTTCAATTCAATGTCACATGCACACCCATACACACATATATACTTATATATGCTTTATTGTCATTAGGGGACAGAGAATGTTCTGGGCTTAGTCCTGAACTTGCCAGAATCAGAGGAGCTACAAGTAAATACGGAGGCATTTACAAAGATGAAGAGGCTGAGATTGCTTCATCTCAATTATGTCCAAGTAAATGGAAGCTACAAACATCTCTCTAAAAAACTTGTATGGTTGTCTTGGAAAGGATTTTCTTTAGAATGTATACCACCAACCTTAATTATGGATAATTTGGTTGCCATTGACTTGAGCTATAGCAAACTCAAACAAGTTTGGAGAGGAACAAAGGTATGATGATTGATACTACTGTTTTTTTAATCATCTGCTTCAAACTACTTAAATTATACAATGACATGCTCGAAAATTTATTGTCTCTTTCTGTTCCTAACAGGTTTTGTGCAAATTGAAATACCTCGATCTCAGTCATTCCTATCTCTTGATTAAAACTCCAGACTTCACGGGGCTCACCGGTCTTGAGAAATTGTTGCTTGCTGATTATACAAAGCTGGTAGAGGTTCACCAATCTATTGAAAGTTTGGAAAATCTTATTGTCTTGGATCTACAGAATTGCCACAATCTGAAGAAGATTCCCCCGAGCATTTTCATGTTTAAGTCTCTCGATTATTTCAATATGTCCGGTTGCTCCAAATTAGAATGGCCAGCATTTTTTCGAAGATCCCCACCTGGATCAAGCTTACAATTGTCAAGTAGCATCAGGAAATTATCTATGGAAAACTGCAATATAACAAATGTGCCCAGTGAAATTGGTAGTTTGGTGTCCTTGGGATGTTTGAATCTTAGCGGAAACAAATTTTCTAACCTACCAGCTACCATCACTAGCCATCCACAACTGTTGACTCTCTTCACACAAACGTGTACTCGGCTTGAATCACTTCCCGGCCTTCCAGTAAATTTAAAGTTTTTGCGAGCAAATGACTGCACAGCATTGCAGAGCATGTCAATTGAATCAAAAGCAGCACACAGACAATTCATGACTTTTAACGGTTGTCCCAAATTAGTCAACAACAATGCTGCGTATAATTTTAGAAGAAATGTTCTCAGATATCAGGTACAAATACAACACTCTCCCTATGCGTGTAGTACTAGAAGAAACCAATTAACTTGGTTCGTGGGTCTAATCTAATGTAGGGACATCGAGAACAAGAGTTGCATATTTGTTTTTCCGGGGGTGAGCTTCCGAGGTGGTGCAACTACCAGAGTGAGGGATACTTTATACCTTTTCAAATGCCTGAGCTCGTGGGTCGGATAATACAAGGGATTATATTTTGTTTTGTTTTTTCTCAGCGCGTCTCTGGAGATTTTATATTCCCATACATGGTTACATATTGTGTTTCTAATAAAACCAAGTGGTCTCGGGGACCACATTGTGAAATACCAATATATTTTTATGCAGATAGATTTGAACGAATGTGCCTATCCTACATACCAATTCGGCAGCTTAAACATTGTCGGTTGGACGTTGGAGATGAAGTGGAAATAACAATCAGACAATCGTATGGAAAACAGTTGTGGATGAAGAGGTTAGGGGTTAGTCTGATTTACGAGGGCGATGAGAAGAATCAGGACTCATATGATGATGCCTTACATCACTCGCTCACTGCTGCCTTAGATATTATCCCTACTCCTCTTGGTGACGTAGATAAGCAGAATGAAGAATTTATAATGGACCTACTCTTACAGGGTGCAACTTGGGCCGGCCCAACGGATTATTGGGTTGGTTATTTTATTTTATTTGTTTTGTTTTGTTTTATTTTTTTATTTTTTGTTTTTTTAGAACATAAATGACCCATTTGAAGGCTTCTAGGGTGAAAGGTTGAGAGAGACTGTGTACTTTAATAAAAAGAAGAATTTTATGTTTTTTTTAATGGAATGAGAATTATATGTATCAATTAAGACTGGAGTGTAGTGACGGACCTGACTTTCCTAAAATTACATTGCTGTGATGGATCCTACAAATATTCCGCCCGAAGTGTCTTCCGTTAATAATATGGTATTGGCTTAATAGAAAAGAATTACATGTTGACTGTTGTGATAATACCACTCAAACTAACAGACTTGAATAGGATAATACAGGTTTCCTTTACCACAAGGCTATTTTTAGTTACTGAATGGTTGAAAATCCTTTATAATCGAGTCCAACTCGACATAAAACATAAGAAATTATGAAGAGATTTGCATATGAATGTCATACTATAATCTTTTTAAATTACACTATAAGAGGAGTGAGACCAAATAGCTGTTGGGAAACGTGCTAGTTTTAAAAACTTTTCGAGGGATTTAAATTCATAGATCTTGTTTCATCACATAGAGACAAGTTTTATGCAAAAATAAAACATGATGTATCATTCAATTAAAAGATTGAATTCTTACATCAAGTTTGAGTAAACCTTAAATCTCTCCTCTAAAGTGAATGTTCTCACTTATTGTAGATCCCTTTTGCTAGACACCTTTTCCATGGATCTCTATTTTCTTGGTAATTGTTTTGCCTTTAGGAATCACTCATAAGCCTCCATGAATGACCTTGGAAAACTAGGCTTGTGGGAGCCTCCATTAGATGAGAACATAAACCCTAATTTTCTAGAGAGAGAAAATATATTCCTTTTTCCTTCTACTAAAAATCACCCCTAAAATATACATAGACCATGTATATTTATAGGCAACATAAAGGTAAAGAAAAGGAAACAACTAATCCTTCTCAATCTCTAATTCACATGTCTCAAATCTAATATGATTCCAATATCAAGTTGGGCTATGAGTGAGAATCCATTGGGCCTATTATTTTATTGGCTACAATGAATTAATAATTGGCCCGGTCCATGGACCCAATTCAATTAATTCATAAATTAATTTCTACTCCACTAAAAGAAATTAATTGAACTCCAATTAAATAATAAATAACCACTAAGTCAATATTGCACTTTGACCCCTTTATGCATAATTAGTTATCGGATAAATAATGCCATCAATCCGACTACTTAATTAATATATTTATTTTGGTACCTTTGATTATTTCTGGCTTGATCACAATAAAACATTTGTTTGACAAAATAATAATAATTTAATAAATAAATATATAATAAATCATTTTGTCTAAAAACATACGAAGGCCTTCGAATTTACTTTATGATCAACCATAATCAATACAAAATAAATATAAGTAGCAATAATGCAAATATTGAAAATATAACATTCTAACTATTAATTACATAACTACCCAAAGTGTCGGTCTAAGGATTCCGAAGAATCCGCCGAACGAATCAAAGTAATTATTAATTAATAAAAGAGTCTATAATTTTCTCATGCTTAAGAGTCAAATGCCATGACGGTGATAGGGAGTAATTGCATACGACGGCTCTCGCAATATATCTCAACCTAACGCGGATCCAGTTCAAATCTTAATTAATTATGAGTCCATCCATAATTACCGACTATGAACAATTTATAATTACTATTTATATATCATGCATTGATTGCCATCACATACATATATATAAATATTTCTTGTAATTACATGGACACTATCAATTTCATAGTGAATCGAAACATAATACATTGAATTCACCAATTATATAAATCATAAATATTTCAGATATGTCAGGAACATATGTCATTATAATCCAGATAGGAATTTGCTATGCTAGGGCATATAAATCCCAACAGCTCCCACTTGCCCTCATAGCCAATTCAAATTGCACCTAACTCCAATGTTATCCAGATGATGATCAAAATTATTGATCAACGACACATTTGATAATGGATCAACAAAGTTGTGTTCCAATGCAATGTTCTAACTACAAGTGCATTTTCTTGCCGGACAATATTATGTAGAACATGATACTTCCTCTCAGTGTATCTTGTTCCTCTATGGTACCTTGGGTCATTGGTTTGGACTACTTCTGCACTATTGTCACAACATAGCTCAATAGGCAGGCTAGTATACTCCACAACCTCTAAATCAGTGAGATCAAACTAATAGGCTTCCTTTGCCGCCTTTAAGGCTGCAATATATTCCACCTACAGGTTTGAGTCAACAGTTGAAATCTGCTTAACAATCTACTAACTGATCTCTCTTCCATTAAGTGAACATACACTAAGTCATAAACCTCATAGTATCTACTTCTGATTGAAAATCAGAACTAGCATACCTGACTAGGACCATATCATCACATCCATAAATGAATATGATATCATTGGTTCTCTTAGGTACTTAATGATATTTTTCACAATAGACCAGTTGTCAAGTCCAGTATTGGACTGATCTCTACTGACTATCCCTACTATGTAGCGGATGTCCTGTTTGGTATAGACCATGGCATATATGAGACTCTCATATGCCGAAACATATTGTTCCAGTTTCATTTGCTCAATCTCCTTTGATAGTCTTGAAAAACTACTTACTAGAGAGAGCCATCCATATCAATAAAGCAAGAACTCATTCTTTGAGTTATGCATACCAAACCTGGTCAAAACTTTATCAATGTAGGATTATTAAGATAAGCCTATTTTCCTTTTAACCTGATCTTACAAAAGCTTGATCCTAGGAATCTAGCTTACATCCTGAAAATCCTTCATTTAAAAGTAATTGAACAACTACCTCTTTATTGATGACAAACTTCCACATCATTCTAAATGAGTAGGATGTCATCAATATATATAGAATTAGAAAAATAATGACATTCCCTTGTACACTCATGATTTATTCACTAAGAAATCTTCTGGTATCTTTTTGTAGATTAACTTGCCTTCCACAGGAATCACCCTACTAGAAAGTTCTACAAGATCCCAGAATTTATTAGAATACATAGATTCCAACTCTGATTTCATAGTAACTCGCCAAAACGATCTGTATCCATATCGGTTTACGCTTCCGTGTAGCTTACTGGGTCCAACTCATGTTTAACAAGGATGTCCATAACGGTCTCACCTAAAAACATGATTCTGTCGGATTGGATGATAATCCTCCCACTACATCAATGCACCGATGCAGGAATCTGTGTACTAGATGATGCTAACACATCAATAGGGAATTCATTTATTATTCTCAATCTCTATAATAAGTGTGTTCACATGTGGTACATCTGGTACTCATACCATATTCTCTAACATTATGCTACTAGGTATGTAATTCATAATATGATCCTCCTATAGATAAACAGTGAGTGTAAACAATCAACTTTTATCATTGAGATCATAAAATAATCCATCCTAGTGACTTTTAGAGTAGCTATCAAATCTATCATGCGTATGATCTGTTTCCAACTTACTTGTCCATATCAAGCGCACATGTGTAAGACTACCCCATATGTGCATGTGATTCAAACTAAGATTTAGTCAAAAACACAGCTCAACGGTATCCTTGAGACAGACTAAGATGGAATGCAGTTCATAATGCGCATCGATGTCATTAACGCTAAACTCTTAAATGAAAGAGATAATGTGGCATAACTGATCATAGATCTAACCATGTTAAGTGGAATTCTGTTATTCCTATTTGACACCTAAATGCGTTTAGCGTCAATTGCGGAAAACTGGTACATAATACCTCATTGACCATATAGTCTTTGCACTATCCCAAGAAATACTCATATCCTCGATCAGATCGAAGTGTCTTGATAAGTTTACCTAATCTGTGCTCCACATCAGTCTTGACCCTCTCGGAATATACCAAAAGTATAAGACTTGTGTCGCAATAGGTAAATTTATCCAAAACGTGAGTAATCTTGCTTGGATGTTTACAAAACCACACATGTCCGTGTGTACCGACTTCAATTGTCCTTTATGTCTATTTCATCTGGCTGATTAAGCCCTAAGAGTTATCTATCCTTCAAAACAGGGTTCACAATTTTGGTTTAGGCTCCCCTACCTCACTAGGGAATTAACCTTCTTTGACCAATCTTTGAATCTCATTTTGATTGATAACAACCCAAAAATAGACATTAAAAAAACAATGAGTCAGGAATAACAATTTTTCTCTTAACATTCAATCTAGAAGATGCAACATTAGTTTCTACGTCCTCCAAATCTTAAGAGTTTGTGATTATAGTATATTAATCATCTTTCAATGCACCAGAAGCAATCGCATATCTATTGAATTTTATAAAACTAGTTTTACAAAATAACAACACAGTTTTTATAAACCACAAGTGAAACAAAAATTAGATTGCGTCTAACTTCTGTGCATAAAGATAGTTCTCTAATACTAATATCCTCATACTCTCTAATTTCAGATGTAATACTCCCACTGACCTAACTACAACCTTGGCATCAGGTCAAAAGATAAATATATATCCATATTATCAAGGCTTCTGGATTCCTGAAATCCTTACGATGAATTGCAAACATATTTAGTGGCTCCAGAATCTATCCATCAGGAATTAATAGATGCAACCACATAACATGGCTCAATGATTAAATATATATTTTCCTATGCCACGTCATTACTTAAACAGTTCGTCCTTTAGTGTTTTAGTTAGCGACAAAAGAAACAGTTTTTTTCGCCCTCAACATACACTGCCTTATTCCCTTTAACCTTTTTGAATACCCATGTTTTGTGCTAGCCTAGTCCTATTATCATCCTTCTTCTTTGCTTTGCCCGTCCACTTGGGCCTAGAAGAAGATGGTATGGACTAGGTTAGATTGATAGGAATGCCCATACTCTTGATTATCCCTTCAACTGTTACCAATTCTATAAGAATATCAGCGAGTGTGAACTCAAACTGATTTTTTATTTAGTTCACTCTAACAGAGTCAAACGAGTTTGGTAACAAGGAAATAATCATGTCAACTTGAAACTTACCACCCAAG